TCACAGCTGTGTGTGTGTTGGGGGGGGGGGCAGTGTTGTTTTATACGCCCTTTAATCACGGGAACCACAGCAGCAACACCAATCATAATAGGCTAGCAGTTCAGTAGCAAGGCTGGTAGACCACCGCCTCTGATGAGCCCTGGATGCTCCTCACGTCACCTGTACGAGCCTCCGCTGTCTCACCTGGAAAATGGGCGCAGACCCGCACCTCAGCCTCCAGGACCCATTGAACCGCCGTGTAGTCGAAGTTCTGCTCTGGGATGGACACTTGGTAGATGCTGGTGTGAAATGGTTTGAGTCTTCTAAGGGGGTTTTGTCTTATCAGCCCTGTCAGGTGTGTGGACCCACTGTTGTTCCTACTTTCAGATGAAAAAGGGAGACAGCAGAGAGGTGAAGTGACCACCCGAGGCCATGCTGGGGCCCTCACTGACTTGGAGGACTTTTCCAGAAATCAGGCTGGTCCCCACCAGGCTCCTGAGAGGCTTCACGTTCCCTCAGGACACCCAAGGTGGCCTTTTCCATCTTACTTCCCAATTGAAATCATACCGGGTCATTATAGATTTTTTTGTTTTAAATGCATCAACTGGGAAAGCCAAGACACAATACCTATCACAGTTTTTGCAATCCACAGTTGGTTTTGGTGTTTCTCAATTTCAAAAAGCTTACCAGAGCTTTAAGAGATGGGACTGGCCCAGGCTCTCAGTCTCCAAGAGGACCTGGGCCAGTCCTGTGTGACCCGGTCTGGGAGGACAGGTCACACAGCTGGGCACAGGTCGTGAACCAGGTAGAGACCAACCAAACTGTGGACATGTCTGCTTTTGCCCTAGACCAGTGGTTCTCAACCTTCTGGCCCTTTAAATACAGTTCCTCATGTTGTGACCCAACCATAAAATTATTTTCGTTGCTACTTCATAACTGTAATGTTGCTACTGTGATGAATGGTAATGTAAATATCTGATATGCAGGATGGTCTTAGGCGACCCCTGTGAAAGGGTCGTTCGACCGCCAAAGGGGTCGCGACCCACAGGTTGAGAACCGCTGCCCTAGAGGCTGAGAGACCACCAGGCCCTGACTTCAGGATGCCTACCCCCCCCCCCCGCCCCCCACATAGGGGTCAAGAGTGTTTCACACACAAGCCCCCACCATACACTTGCCAATCTGAGTCACCCAGACCTCAAAATTGGCTTAATGGGGGGTACTCCAGGAGCACCCCACACTTTGCCTGCTGAGACTAAGGCTCAGAGGTAGACCCTGTCTTCATGCCAGCTATTCTTACTGAGTCCAGAAACCGCTGGCGAGAGAGGTCCCTGCTGCCCACTGTCACACACAGCAAGCCCGTCCAGGAACAGGAGGGCCTAGGACCCCCGTTTGGCTGCCAGAGGGAAAGGTGGTGAGTCACAGGCAGGCCAGGTCTGGGCGCCTCTTTCCCGGAAAGGGAAAGGAAGGGAAGAGAGGAAACCAGAAGGCCTGGAGGCGCGCAAGGGGCGGGGGCGCCCTTATCTTCCCAGGACCGCCCTGGCTAGAGCTTCCTGCCCCAGCTCTTGCAAAATCTTTTTCCCAGAGCTGCTCACAAGAGGGGCACCCAGGGCCGGTAGAGGGTTGCATCAGGGCCTTGTGCAAGGGGTGGCTGGGGACAGGGATAGGGGGATGGGGTGGTGGGAGGGTGGTAGCTGGGGCCAAGAGGGGGCAAAGGAAGGCAGATTATGTTCTAGGCCCTGTGTCATTTCTGATTGGTCACATGCTGCACTGCCCTGTCTCTGCATTCTCAGCTTTAAAATGGGTGTTACAGCCCTGGCTGGTTTGGCTCAGTGGATAGAGCATCAGCCTGCGGACTGAACGGTCCCAGGTTTGATTCTGGTCAAGGGCACATACCTAGGTTGCAGGCTTGATCCCCAGTAGGGGGACGTACAGGAGGCAGCCAATCAATGATTCTTTCTCATCATTGATGTTTCTCTCTCTCTTTCCCTCTCCCTTCCTCTCTGAAATCAATAAAGATATATTTTTTAAAAAAATAAAATAGCCCTAACTGGTTTGGCTCAGTGGCTAGAGCGTCGGCCTGCAGACTGAAAGGTCCCAGGTTCAATTCCGGTCAAGGGCATGTACCTTGGTTGTGGGCACATCCCCAGTGGGGGGTGTGCAGGAGGCAGCTGATCAATGTTTC